TGTGTGTGTGTGTGTGTGTGAGAGAGAGAGAGAGAGAGAGAGAGAGAGAGAGAGAGAGAGAGAGAGATGCAGCATGGGTCACTACTGTCGCTCTCCCCTGCCCTTCCCCCTGGGGCAGATCAGCAGCAGCATTCTTGCTGCTTTCTGCCCTCTCCATTGTCACTTCAGAGGCAAGAGCAATTAGCCAGGAGTCAGGAGCTCTTGGTGCTGGTCACAGCTCCACTGGAGCACCCCGCCTTCCTAGATCTTATTTCCTCTTCCTGCAGTCGGGCCTCTCTGGGACAGCCCTGCACAGCTTCCTGGTTTGCTGTGGCCCTCCAAGGAGGCCACATCGCATGGTGATGAGCACCTTGATCCAGCGGTTAATGGGTCCCTGGCAGAAGTCCCGGTCCGGTTACCTCCTGCTAGGCAACCTCAGACAAGCTGCTGAGCCTCTCTAGATGTCTCTTTCCCCACCTATGCAAGGAGGGTAGCAGCAGTCTGAGATGATTCTGGTGCCTGCACGCTTTCTTTTATCTTGTCTCTGCCTCCCCCATACCACTGGATATTGATGCTTTTCCCTGAGCTATATCTCCAGTACTTACCTTTTTCTATTCTGAGACAAAGTTTGGCTAAGTCACTAGGCTTAGCTTGGGCTTAAGCTTGGTGATCCTCCTGCTTCAGCCTTCAAGACTAGCTGTATGGGATGCTTTTGTTTTGGTTTGTTTTTTTTGAGACAGGGTATCCTATGCTAGACTTGAACTCACAGCAATCCTCTGCTTCAGCCTCCTGAATGCTGGGATTACAGGTGTGCCTATCAAGATGCTATTAACAAGGGCCAGAGAGATGGCTCAGTGGCATAAGTGCCTGCTTGGCAAGCAAGCACAAGGTACCAAGTTCAATCCCTGGTACCATGTGCCATGCTGGCTCTGGAACCAGGTGTGGTGGTGCACACCTGTAATCCCAGTGCTGTGGAGGCTGAGACAGGAGGATCACTACAAGTCTAAACTGCATAGCAAGACTTTCTATTTAAAAAAAGAAGGAGGAGGAGGGGGAGGAGGAAGAGATGCTTTTAATGGAGCCTTGGCCTTGTTGCTCCATGAAGCAGCCACTCTTACTTATATGTGACAGCAGGACTAGGAAGACTTTGGCCATCTCTTATCACTTGGAGTCCATCAAAGCCAAGTATGCCACCTGCCTGGATCCATGGGAGTCTCCAGTGTGGGTGGCCTGAGTACCGAGTGAAGGGGGGCAGCCTCTGGGAAGCTTTCTCATCCAGGACACCTGGTGGGATCAGAGATCCCAGCAGCCAGAAATTGTTCTCATTGTGTCCAGAAATACACAGCACCCCTCCCGTGCTCTTCCTGACACCCTCTGGATGGAAGCATCAGAAGGGGGCTCAGCAGACCAAATCACTAAAGAAGCAGCTCCAAAACAACAGGTCTGGATTCCTAGGTGTTTTATGTGTATTTGTCCCCCCAAAGCCTCATGCAGTCATTGAGGTGCAGTTCTGCAGTTTCTTATTAACTCATGATCCAAGGCTGGGATTATGGGTCTGTGTACTGCTGGGATTATGGGTCTGAGTACTGCTGGGATTATAAGTGTGAGAGCTACACCCAGCCTGGGGCAGATAGCCTGGATGTAACAGAAGAGAGACAGACTTGCTCTCTGTAGCCATTGTTGCTGTTACCCCTTCCTTTTGCTCTCTTGCTCTTTGCCACCATCATGAACTGCTGCCCTCTGCCATGTTCCGCTCTGCCTTGCAGCTAGCCAAGTATGGACTGAAACCTCCACTGACTGTGAGCTACGTAAACCTTTCCTTCTTCATTTTGGGTGTCAGGTATCCGTCCCAGCAATGAGAGAAGAGTAACCGAGACACGAGGGAAACAGGAATGCA